CACTTCCTACCGCAGCGAGCATCCCCATAGTATCTGAGTTATCACAATAAAACTAAAATATAATAACAGGCCAATCAATCTGCTCAACATCATAAATTACAGGAAAGCAAGCAATCTCACCAACTAAGTATGGATAGTTTGAATCAGCTTGAAATATATCAAGAAAAGCAACCAACTTAATTCCATACAGTGGAATTTTCTCCATACTACATGTAGTGACAGTTGTCCTTGGTTGGAAGTTTAGACGAAACTCATGCCTTGAAGTGCGATAATTACCACTATTGTTGCCTACACCAAAATAAGCAAACACATACGTTGAACCTTCATTTATGACATTCTGAAAAGTTCCTACCAAACTTCTTCGGACAGTGGCGTGAATTGTAGTCCCCTATATAATAAAAAAATAAAAATCATTAGTAATCACATTAAAATGCTTAATTATTGAAGATGCCCAATTATTTTATATCCAAAACAGCATTACAACCTGCGACCTACCAACATATTTCAATACACCTGAATCTAGGCCATTTGGAGGTTATTGAATGGTCTTTTTAAAATTAATTACATTAGTTTTTCATGTTAAACATGCTGCTTCTAATTATATAGACTCTTAAATTAGATGCCAAAAATGCCATTGGTTCAATATGCTAACTTTCTTGTTAAAAATGCCAACTGGTTCAAATTGTGCTTCAATAAGCTAAGTTTCCCGTTAAATATGAACTCTATTTTCATAATTCATTTTCACCCATCTAGATGCCCATTTGGAAACTGCCCTCTAAAAATGTATTAAAAGAGTATCTAAGAGTTTCCCCTCTCTCTCTCATCCAATAAATTTGAACAGAAAGCAAAGTATTTTTTTCATCTCCCAAAATCAAGTCACAAACACAGCACTACCACTACACCAGACTACACACACATGCTGCAGACATTGAATACAAAGCAAAGCACAAATAAAAAAGCAAAGCACACAGGAGTGTAGGTGACATCTCTATCCATATCAGCAAAACAGGATTTCTGTTTTAATTTTTTAATGATTATATTAATCATATTAAATATTGGTCAAAGAAAGACACTTATCATCAGTTCAATATAAGACTGAAACATTAGTTCAATATAAGACAGAAACATTAGTTGAAGAAAAACTTGAAATATAAAAAATCTTGGAACACGGGCCAAACTTATATAAATATTTAAGATATGATATATATACTTACGTGTTCGTCGAGGAACACCATCTCTATTGAGTTTATTGCTTTGTTATCATTGAAGGCAGGCAACGTATACAACCGTATCACACGAACACAAATCCTCCAACACTCACTTGTCGGATTGATTTTTGATAAAGGGTAAATGGGCTTGAAAGACATGACTCTCTAGCAAACAAAGTACTTGTAGTTTTCTTTCAAAGGCAAAATTTTCGAATGAAGAAGAACCCAATTGAAATGAACTCAGGCCAAAGCGATATATATACTTAAAGAACTAAGAAATCTCCTAAATTTGGTACCCAGATCACATAATCGTAGAAAACGACCCGACTAAAACTTTCCTCTCTGGTCTGGTGCGGTCAATTATCCAGTGCGCAGGCAGTAGAAAATTTACTCTAAAGTTTAGTCTGATTACGTGGCCTGGTGACTTGTCCATTTTTTGCCAAGTAAGCATGCCATATGTCGCATTCTGGTGCATAGGAGTCTCTTTTATTATAATAAGGGATATGAGGATTCTTCTGAACATAGTGCGAGGTCCAACTTCATATGAAGATTTAAAAATTGTCAATGGTGTTATTCACAATATTTATCGTGATTTATGCTATGTTATTGGACTACTAGACGATGACAAGGAGTACATCGTTCGTTTCAAGGAAGCAAATGGTTGACATTTTACCAAATAGCTAAGATTTTTATTTGTCACACTATTAACAAACAAATCAATGTCTAAAACAAATCATGTTCGGAAACATTGTTGAGATTTGATGGCTGATGACATTCTACATCGCAAAGAAGTCTTCTAAGTCATCAAGGTAATATTGAACTAATACTATTGTTATTTTAATAGAATGTCATTTTGAATAATTTTACTCCTATCATGCGCATGTTTGGTTTATATGAAGATCAAATTAAGAATTATGTCTTGATCGAGATTGAGATGTTGCTTACAATGCGAGCTAAGAGTCTTCGAGACTTCATTGATATGTCTTTCCCCATTTTAGACTCTACTTCAACAACCCGCAACATGCTAATTCTTGACGAACTACATTATGACCGCCTTGCATTGAAAGATGAACACCATAAGATGATGGCAAAGTTGAATGACGAACAATTCAGAACTTATGAAACAATAATGGCATCGGTCAATTCGGTTGAGGTAAAAGTTTTTTTCATATACGGTTATGGTGGAATTGAAAAGACTTTTGTAAGGAAAATTTTTTCTGCTTCGATACGTTCAACTGGAGAGATCGTGTTAAATGTTGCTTCAAGTGGTATTGCCTCATTATTGTTACCTAGTGGAATAACCACACACTCGCGATTTGGTATTCCAATTAATCCCCATGAAAATCTCACCTCTAACACTAAACAAGGAACACCTTTGGTCAAATTGTTGGTTCGGAGCAAGCTAATAATCTGGGACGAAGCACTAATGACACACAAGTATTGTTTTGAAGCTCTTGATAAGTCTACGCCATGTGATGACCATAAATAATCCATCAATGCAGAGTTGACCTTTAGAGTGAAGACAATTATGTTTGGAGGAGACTTTCATCAAATTCTACCTATCATTCCTAAAGGAAGAAGACAAGACATTGTCGATGCTACCATTACCTCTTCATATTTATGGAACTATTGCACTGTGTTACGTTTGACGAAAAACATGCATTTACAGCATGTGTCTTGCAATAACAATTATGAAAGCATGATAGAACTTCTGGAGTGGATTGCAAGTAACGATGATGGCTTGGCCGGAGCAAAAAACAGTGAAGTTAGTGAGGTCATTATCCCTGAAGATATGTTGTTAAAAAGCACAGGTGATCCAGTTGCCTCAATAGTGAATTTAACTTATCTAGATTTCCACAATATTGCAAATGATCCAACATATATGTAAAGTCAGGCTATCCTTGCACTAACTCTAGACGTTGTGGACGAAATAAATAAATACATGACATCATTGAATAGTGTGGGAGAACCAGAAGATACTTAGCTATGATGTAGTGTGTAAGTCTGATTCAAATGTAGATTTCTTAATAGAGTTGCATTCTCTTGAATTTCTATATAACATACGAGCATTGGGTGTGCCAAATCATGAATTGAACTTAAAGGTTGGAACACCCATCATGTTATTTAGGAATGTAGACCAAGCATCATGTTTGTGCAATGGAACAAGGTTGATAGTTACTCGACTCAGCAATCATCTTATTCAAGGGACGGTGCTGACAGGGAAAAATATTGGTCAAGAAGTTGTTATCCGATCCCATGGCCGTTGCTTACACTGTTAGATACAAAAATTCCTTTTAAGTTTCAAAGGAAACATTTCTTAATTATAATTTCATATGCAATGACATTAATAAAAGTCAAGGTCAATCTTTGTCACATGTTGGGCTTCTACTCAAGATCTTGATTCCCAATGAAGACCTTGCATTGTCGAATCAGACTATAAATGTAGTTTACAAAGAAATTTTCCAAAACTTATAATACTATGGATCTGCATTCTGTATTATTCTATATTTCTCTTTTTCTTTAAGATTTGTTATATATGTTCTTATGTTTATGTATTTTTATCATTTTCTTTCATCAAAACTTTCCGTAATCATTTAGTATATGATTTGCCGTTGAACATACGGGTACGAGTCTTGTGACCTACAGGGACAACCATGACATTCTTCCTGTTTGTTTAATTGCATTTTTTGATTTTTCCTTTTCTTCATTTCTTGTTTTGCTTCTTTCTATTTTTGCTTCTTTTCCTTTTTATTACCTTTTAATCTTAGTTTTTACTTTTAAGTATTGTTTTTTTAATTATATTGAGTTTTGGTTAATGAAATGTTAAAAAGATCAAGAAAAAAATAAATTCAATGAAATGTTACACTAGTTATGTACTTTAATTTTTTTTATTTTTTAAATTTAATATTAATGGAATCGCACCCTTAGAAGGTGAAGTAAAAGAAAAAACTAACGTGGTGTTAAGTTGGCAATAGGAGAACAAAAGATGACACGAACCATAAAATCCAGCCTTATACTATTTTTTCTCAGAGTATTTTTAAAATATTATTTTATCTTATTAATTTACTCCATACTATGTAATTTTTATTCAATTATAAATTAAAACTCGATTTTGGTTTAGCACAACAAATTAAATAGGGAGAAATAGTCTTTGGGAGTAGGGATGTCAATTCAACTCAAATCTTATTGTAACTGGTCTGACCTAAATCGAGAATTTAAAAATCTGAACCTGACCTGAAAAAATCAAACCTAAACCCGACACTCGTGTCAGGTTTAAGTTTGGGTTTTTAACCACCCCGACTTGAACCTAAAAATTTAAAACTAAAAACCCTACTTATGCCTCTATGGAGTATTGCAATATAGTCTACTTCTATTTCTCTTTGTCTCCTTCTTTTCCACACTCAATCACATCTCTCCCTTGTCCACATTTCGCTACTCACTTTCGGATAGTTTCTTTACCTCGTATCTCCTGTTACTGATCTAGTTAATCATGATCTTATTGTATTTATTTTTTCTCTTCGAAGGGCTGTGTATAATATATTTTCTATTTTTTGTATATGCAAATGTAGCAATTCAATGTGTCAAAATTTTGGTTGGGTTCGAGTTGGATGTTTAGTTAAAAAGTTTAGTTTAAAATTAGTTATTCATTAATCAGATCAATTCTAGTTTCAAGTATAAAAGTCGGATTCGGATTTGAATTTAAAAATCGAGTCGTGTTCGGTACTATCCGACCCGAATCAAACCCGAATCAAACCTGTAAAGCTGGGAGTAAAACTAAAAACCCTAAAACAGTTCCGCTGCGAATTCCAAGAGCATTTCCCAATTCGTTCTTCCACAGTTCTACCCAGGGGATTGCGACACAGTGACTGGCTTCTTCTCGTTGGTAAGCGGGTTCGTTAAAGAAGGAGCTAATCAGGGGCCGTAGGCTGACCACAGCTCTTTCGGATCATACAGAATTCGATCGGTTGCGGTATGTATCCCTCAATGATTAGGGGCATGTTGATAGCATAGAAGAAATTTGGCGATGTACTTTGTCCGTTCCTCTTCTTCGCTTCTTTATGCCTTTAACAAATGCCTGTTTGTTGTCAGTTTGGTGGTGTTCTTAATGTAGAACAGGTTGAGTGTGGAATTGGAATGTGCTGGGTGCCTTTGTTTGGTACTTTGGTGTCAAAATTTGAATGGTCATTTCCATAATTTTAGATGGTTCAATTAATTAGGGCATTATATATTTTTCTTGTGACACTTAACTAGCCGAAACAAATATTGTCATATGTTTTACACAATCACTTCACACTTTTCTCACAGAAATATTTTCAACTGAACTATAATATCGGTTAACTGCAACAAGTTTTTTTATCAAACCAAAAATTACTTTTCTAATTTCTTTGATTGGCACACTCGGCATCACGTTTTTGTTATTAAGAGCCCCTATACTTTCGAGGTAAGGCTAAGGTCGTTGTACACACACCCTCCACCCTCCGCAGACTTTACTTTTTGTGGGATTTTCGGAGTTTGTTGTTTTTGTTTGATGGGCTATTTGAAGTAATCTGCTACATTTTTTGTGGTCGTTTCAGCAGGACATTTAGTTTGTTTTGGCACTTTGGTAGTTGGGTTTAGGGTTATAAATGAACCAAATCAAATCGGATATTCATGAATAATTTTCTTATTCGTTAAGATAAAGTGATATTCGAATTCGAATTCGGTTCGAATATTTTTTAAGATTCATATTCGGTTCGTTTAATATATTAAACATATTCGGTTCCTTTAAAAATTCGATTTGTTTAAATATATTCGGTTTGTTTAAAAATATTCGATTCATTTAGATTTTAAAATATTTTATAACCATTTAATCTATTTATTAGCTATTATGTGTGTGTGTGTATATATATATATATTGTATATATAATTAAATTTATATTCCGAATATATTTGTCAAACTCACGAATCGAATACCCTTGATTGATATTCGTATTCGATAAGGATTCGAATATTTATTCAGATTCGTATTTGTATTCGGATTTAAAAAAATCGAGTACGAATCACCTCATACGAATACGAATCACGAATCGAACATAAAATATTCGATTCATTTACAACCCTAGTCTGGTTATTTAAGATTGCAGTTTTTAATTTTATATAATAAATAAAACATAATACAAACAACAAAAAATGGCTCATGGAGTAATATGTGCATACCAAACCATGAAGATTTTTTAAAATTCGAATCTATCATTGGTTCTCGGACAAAACCAAACAGAAAAATTGAATTCACCCCTATCTTTAAGGGCAAGAAAGGAAAAACAAAGATTTGTCTCTTCCCAGCATATGATAGTAGAATGGCAGAAACACCAAGCTTTGTATTAGGAGTAAAAGGCTGTTGATCTTCTATATTTTTTCTCAAGAACGCAATCTTCTGTTCATTCAACTCTGCAGTGTCATTTTTCTAATGCAGTTCTATTTCCTTATCCTCCATTGATCGTATGGTTGTTTGGTCATCTTTGATGGATGGTTTCTATGAGTTTGTTCTGTTCGTATATTATAAGGTACTTAAGACATCAATTTTTTGTTGAAGTATTCCAGATTCACAAGTTTGACGTGTTATGCAACTCTAAGGTCATGGCTAGGTTATTATCTAACATTCTCTTTAGAGGTCTCGCTGCTTATCCTGCTACCCGTTCATCCAGCGTTGTAAGATCCAGCTTTTTCTATCAATGTAGTTGATTTGTTTGTTAGAAAATGTGATAATAGCATTAGATTGCATATATAACAGGGATGTGGATCATGGTACCAAGTTGGGAACCGGTACTTCAGCTCTGAATCCAATGATCCAGACACACATGAAGATTTTCGACCTACGAGCAAAGTTGAGAGCTCTGGCGTTTCATTGAAGGACATTATCGAGCAGGTTCTCATGTTGATATTAGTTTCTTGCATTAAAATGTAGTGTTGGTTGCATATATTAGTTGGAGTTATGTTAATTCGGTAATAAAATGTTCTTTTGGGGGTTTAATTCGGCAATAAATTGTTCTTTTGGGGGTTTTAATTTTAAACGTGCATATATGTTACTTATGTATGTGTTATATGTCCATATGTAGGATGTGAAAGAGAATCCAGTTATGCTTTACATGAAAGGGGTGCCCGAACTTCCACGATGTGGGTTCAGCTCACTGGCAGTGAGGGTGTTACAAGAGTATAGTAAGCAACACACTGCTATTCAATTTATTATATCCATCTAGATATATGCTATCTCTATCTGAAAAACAAGATATTTTTGGTTGGGAAGACAATTATTTTCTCGATAAATGTTCAGTATTCTTTTGTGTTAAACTTGCACTTCAAACTTTTATAAGAAGATGATTTGTAGCATGTTTTTTACTTATAGTTCAATTTAAAAGGTTGCTCTATATTAGTCTGGCTGATCTGTATGTGATGCAGTATTTTTGCATGAGCTTAAATCATGTATAGTATGTAGCTCTTGCACTTCACATTCCTATATGGATCTTTTTCCCAAGTACTTAACAACATTGATGTATACTATCTTGCACTTCCGCACTTTACATAAATCTGGAATTCTGGTGATGTCATACTTAAATTCTTAATGTAATTTTTTAATAACAAATGGGATCCTCTATTCCACTGTCCCTATTCCATTGCAGTGCCACTTATTCTAATTGGGCAGAATCATATTTATTACTGTTTCCTTTTTATCATATTAATTAATTAATAGACATCAATCAACCATGCATCCATGATGACTCATACCCAAATGAGATAGGGAAAGTGGGAAGGTATTTGAACTCCATTTTAACTCGCTCTCTAGCTATATTTCTTTTTTCATCTGAAACGCTACTGCTACATGTTGAAGATGATTTGCTTAGCACAATTGGTGAACTATAGGTACAATTTAGCAAGTTATTTGAAAGCAGAAAAAGTCTATGTTGTAAATTGAAAAAAAGTACTATTGCAGTACGTGTGCGGCGGGCCTAGACGACTCTATCATAATTTACAAGTTATGATTTATGAACGTTGAAGGAAGAGTGTATAACAGTATAAGTGTGTGTTCCATGTGTTCATTTATTTAGTATTTTGATATGCTGGTGTACTAACCATTAATTGAAATTGGATTAATTGTTGTACATAAAATATTGACCTTCCATTAGAATGAATGAATTGAAACGCGTAATGTATAGGAAATTCATTCATGGTCAATGAATTTGAGAATAGCTGTCTCAGGCATGCTGTCAATGTTGAGGGACGAGGAAAAATTTCCTTTGCATATTGCGTTTAAAAGAAACAATCTTGCTAGTTTCTGGTACTGTACGGTTCTTCCTCATGTGGTTAAAATTTATTTGGCGTCTACAGATGTTCCCATAAGTGCTAGAAATATATTGGATAATTACGAGCTTAAGGATGCCGTCAAAGCCTTCAGGTAATTGCTTCTTTTTTTTGTAATTACTAAAAGCTTTTATCCTTAAGTATGCATTATAAGAATAACAACTCTTTAAAACAATTTAAAGGCTGTGGTAACTGATGTGTATATATATTTTGTGCAGCCATTGGCCCACATTCCCACAGATATTCATCAATGGAGAATTCATTGGTGGATCAGACATCATTCTAAGCATGCACCAGGTAAGTACTTTTCACACCCACCCATCGCTTTGTTTGTGCTTCCTCCCCGTGCCGAATAAGATGCCGAAACGTTTTTTGTTCTTTTCTTTTCGTGTTACGCAGAGCGGAGAACTTAAGGAAAAGCTGCAAAACATTAGCAAGCAAGGGAAAGCGGAGTGAAAACTCGTTTGCCGGGTTCAAATTTTTCTAACGTGGACTATTACTACTGGACTTTTTTGAATAAAGTATATTCCGGTGTCATGTTTTGAGTAATGCAAACAAGTCCCTGTTTATTTATTTGCTTCTTTGTACGAGTTAAGTTCTGTGAGGAGTCACACTTACATGCATTATGCATTGTTTTTTTCTTCCCTCTCATCTAAACTTATGTAAAATAATTGGGACGACAAAAGCGGAATTGTGTATGTACTCCCGTAATTAAATTGGTTCTGGACGGAAGGAGTAATAATAAGTTGAAGGTAAGAATGTATCAAAAACTTAATCTCTTCGTTCCAGATTAAATACTACTCCATACATTCCGTTTTAAATCGTCTGTTTTGACTTTTGGACATATTTAAAGAAGAGAAAAAATAGAGTTAATTTTTCAAAATTGTCATTACTTTTTAGGAGGGGTGACGATGAATGAGAAGATAAGGTGGAGAAGAGTGATTTATTTTAGGTATTTTACTCTTAAAATTTTATGATAACAAGTAATAGTCATCTTATTTTGGGACGAATAAAAAAGTAAACAGACAATTTGAAATGAGACAGAGGGAATATATGCCATTTGAAGGAAATAGGTCTTAAATTCATTGGTTTTAGATCAGCAAAATTTAGTTATTTGCTTCTCAAATCTTTCATTTAAAAGGAGAAATTACTCAGAATAATCTGAACTTTTTCCCTCTCATTCCCCCTAACACTAGATTCGTACAGCACACTGTTGAAAACTGGTGTAAAATAATTGCAGAAAATTACTCACGGGTGACACGAGTTTTGTTGAAATAACTCTCAGGTCCCTCTATTTTCAAAAAGACAGCAAAGGTTCTTACATTTTGTTGTAATGACTAGAAGGGGACATTTAATCTCATATTTCATCTATAAACGTTAATAAATGTATTTTTTTCCTATTCTTTTCTAAATGTTTTAAGGTAATAAATCTTAGGTCGCTCCTTTTTTTATTTATTTGTATTTCTTTTATTTTGTTACTATTTTTCAGAGTGTTATTTTAGAATTTCTTCTATAAAATCGTATAAAAATTCAAAATTGTTTGTATTGTATTAAAACAAATGAAATAAAAAAATTTTAAAAAAAGAAAAAACAAGGTAATGGCAAAATAGGAAAAAACGGTATTGGAAAAATAGGAAAAAATACATTTATTAACACTTACGGATGATGTATTGGATGAAATGTCCCCTCCCAGTCATTACAACAAAATATAAGGACCTCGGTTGTCTTTTTGAAAATAGAGGGACCTGAAAGTTATTTCGACAAAACTCGCGTCACCCGCGAGTAATTTTCTGTCTTTTGCAAGTGCTCAAATCTTAAAGAGAAGACACAAAACTCCGTGAAAACGGTTGAATCCAGATATAATTGTGTTCTGCTACCTGCTCGAATAGTACTGCATCCGTTCTAATTGGTTTGTTGTTTTAGTTTAGGATGTTTGACTGAAATTATTTTCAATTATTTTATATGAAACATAGTGTATAATTAAAAAAATAAAAGTTACATATTTAAAAACTATATCAAAAGATCTACAAAATTAGTGGTGACATGATTATATTATTTTATCAAATGACTAACGAAAATAAGGAAATAAAGCGAATGAAGTTTGATCATGTGAATTTTTAACATGCAACTTAATTTGGTACAGAGAGAGTAGCTAATGTTTGAGACCCCATTCTTTAAAAAGATTACATGTGGCAAACTTATACTTCGGGGTATATAAATTTGATAAAAAGTGAATTGATCCTTTTTTATTCTGACCAGAAATAACGGGTTTTGAATAAATGTTTTATTAACCAAATCCAAACTGTCTCGCTAAAAATTGTTCTAGACCGAATCTGACATCACTGATGAATTAATGTAATAGTTTTTCAAAATATGTACTTTAATTCGAAAAATAATGTGATAAAAATAAATGTACGCTTTAATTTTTTTCTTGTTACTTATTTTTTGTGTATAAACATATAATTTCAAGCAAGTTTTTAATAACACCACAAAGTTATCTTACATTTTTCAAAAATGGTATATATTTAATTTTTTATATTATAATATTATTAAATACCCCCCTGTCCCATAAAAAGACTTCGCATTTCCTTTTTGACGTCCCCAAAGAAACTCTTTCCAGTTTCACAAAACTTTTTGTAGTTCACAATATTTTTCTCTTCTCAGTATCACTTTCAACCATATAATTTTACTTTTCTTAAACTTTGTGCCAAACCAAACGAGTAACTTTATTTTGGGACGGAAGAAATATATCTAAAAATTAAATAAAAATTCATAAAAAATATTCTAATAGTCTAATATCTTTAATATAATCCCTCCGTTTGGAAATTAATTGCTTAGACACTATTCACACAACCATATTTTATTCAATTTGTTTGCTTATTTTCATTACTCATTTAATAATATAAGGCATTAATGTCACCACTTGGTTTGAAGAATCTTTAATGTATACATTTTATTTTTAAATTTAACATCTAGAATCAAATAAACTGAATTGAAAATCATATCCTACTATTTACAATAGCAGAGCAAAAAAGTCCTGCTATATTCTCGCCTCTCCAAATAACCGCAGACACACGATCTTCCCACAAAATCACTCACGATCTCGCCTCTCCAATCAACCTACAGCTTCCATCTTCTATATTCTCTCTCCAATTAGACGCAACTCCTGCCTGCGATCTCACTCAAGAGACGCCTAGGACATGGAAGCACCAGTGACAAGCGATTGTTACTTTAGGATCAGATTTTGCTCATTGTTGGATCGAACCTATAGATAATGGACAATTATTGAAGGCTTCTTCAAAAGAGACTGAATCTATTCCCATCTCAAGTTGAATTGACCGAGGACGTAGATGGAGATCTTGCCGCACATCCGTTCCGTGTTAATTAGAAACCCCAACTCTCTCCCACCTCCCCCCATTTCGTTTCAGTTGCAGTTGCAGCAAGTAGAAGAGAGTATTCAGATTTTGAGAACGGCTACAGGAAATAGATTCTCTAATTAAGCTTAGCCAGCAGGAAAAATATAGATTTTGACACTTCTCTCCCTTTTTATTCTCGGCTGCTCAGACCTCAACGGATAATAGAGAAGGACGGCTGCACGGTAGATGGAGGTAACACCATATTTTTCTTTCTGTTTCAAGTTCTTATGAATTTCTTTAAGATTCTTTTATTTTCTAGGATTTTCGGCCCCAAATTGGTACACGGTTGGAGACAGGAGACTCGGAAACGGCTAGAGGGCTCCCCGGAGACACGATCACGCGACCATGGACAAATTGGTGGGCAGCCATTAATGGCGAGCACGGATGTTGAATGCACTGTACATACAAGAGCATAGGTTTTACTCTTCCTCTTTTTGAAATATTTTTTTTATAATTCTCTCTATACCCTAATTGAAATTAAATATTGGTGAATCGACACAAAAACTATGTAATGTTCTCATGAATGGAAAGTAAACCAGTGCTCAAAGAAAACCTCAATTCACAAGTATTAAGTGCAGTAGCTATATCTGGCACAAGGACACATACAAAATGAGAAACAGCTATGCTTGATTGATATATATTCTGAAGGAGAAACCAAGCTGCCTGTATTTAGATAATCTATGACTTTGTTATCAGCAACCCAAACTCTCCCATGAAGCTTATGTGGGTTTTCATTTCTTTTTCTCTGCTGCTTCAACCTAAACATCCGCCGCTGCTCTCATTTGCTTGAGTCCGCCCGTAGGCTTCAACAGAAAGTAGAGAAGGATGGCGACACAACAGATGGAAGTAACACCGTATTTTTCTTTCAGTTTCAGTTTCTTTTGTATTTACATTAGAATCTTAAATTTTCCACATTTTTGGTCCCAAATTAGAATAAGGTTGAAGACACCACGGATACTGGAACCAGCTAGGAGGGCTCCGGCGAGACACGAAGATGGACAAATCACAGGTTTTGGACTGCGACAAATATTGAAAGGTACCTCTTTATTCTCTGCAACATCTAATGCAGCATAATATTGTATAGCTTAGTGTATGTCTTTTTTTTTGCACACTATTCTGAAGATCATTACCCAATAATTTAGCACTATTCGTTTGATCAATACAAATCATGATACATAAAGTTCCTTATTTATAGCACATTTTCATTACAGAAGAAGTTAATGAGCTTCTCCAAATTTGGTGTCTCATGTTGTTTCCCCTCTCTTTATTCGTATTTTTAATGTGCTTATGCCATGTAGATGTTTTCCTCTCTTTGAATGTTTTTGTCCAAAAAAGAATTATATTCCCTTCAAATGATGATGCTTTTTTATACCTTTCCAATAATTTAAAAAAAAGTAAATATGGTAGAGGTGGCTGCACCAACAAATAAATACAGGTTTAAATAATATACAGAGTAATTATATAAATAAGATTTCATTTGTGCCGTAATAGTTGGGACAGAGAAAGTAATAAATACTTGATTCAGATTTTCAATATCCTTGCAGATTATTGAAACCTTTGCGACCACAAAAACAAGCTTCAAGAATACATGCCTATTAAAGACAAACATGACCCATATTCATGTGCATGTATCTTCTTTGATGCACCATTGAGCCTTGATATGGAGAAGGGCTGATAAGTCCGTTTCGTACTTATATTTTTACTCATATTTAAATATCATAAGAAATATTGCTACAATGAATCATCTAATGCCTTATTATCACTATATGCTAATTAGTTTGCCTCCAGTCTAGATAATGTCGTCATCTTTTAAGGGTCCAATTTTAGCTTTAGCACAGGGCATTCATAATCATTGGACCGGCCCTCAGGACATCACTTCATCATAGATCGCCGGGAAAACTTCATTGTAGTTGTATTTTTCACTTTGTTGTTTAAAATGATTTCTTTGACTTCATATGAGTATTTACTTTTCTAATTGAAAAAAGAAAATCTTGGTGAAGATTTAGTATCCATTTTTGACGACTCTTTTGTTATTGATCTCAAGGCATCAATTAAGCACTCTAAAGCCACTGGTGTTAATCCACTCAGAAGCAGCAAGTTGCCCACATTTATTACAGTACGTATTGATCAAGTATCAGAATGTTAAGCCTAAGGTTTTAATCCACTAAATAGTACTCTCTCCGTCCCATAAAACATTTCCTGTTTCAAAAATGGCACGCCTTTAAAATGAGTAATTTTAGTATTATTTTTTAATTATGACTAATCTATTCTACACATCTCATCCTACTCTTTAATAAAGTAAGGGCAAAATTAGAAAATAACATCAAAATTACTCATTTTA